AACAACATGGAGGCTGGGTTCCAAGAATGAGCCTTGGTAATCACTTTTGACATACACTATTGGTTAAGCAGTCAAAAAGCTCTGCTCACGTTCAAAAGGAGGGGGCATAGACTCCACCATTCAATGAGAAGATGTGGGATAGGCAGTGTGGCCATGTTATGGGTTGAATGGTGTCCCATCAAAAGATATGTTGAAGCTCTAACCCCCAGTATCTTGAAATTTGACCTTACTTGGAAATAGGATTGTTGCAAATATAACTGGGGAGAAGACGCAAACACTTGACCTGTAAATGCCATGTGACAACAGGGGCAGAGAGAAGTGCTTTAAGTGCTGCAACTACAAGCTAGGAAATGTTAAGAATTGCTAGCCAAACACTAGAAGCCTTAGGAAACTATTACAGGCCATCTTTGCAAAATACAGTCTGCTACAGGTATGTTGTTAAAATTATTCTATAGCTTCTATTCTATTGGTTTAACTTTTTTAGGGAGCATCATACTGTTTTCCACAGCAGCTGCACCATTTTACATTCCAGTTAGTAATGCCAACACTTGTTATTTTCTGTTTCTATTTTGTTTTGTTTTTTTTAATAATATCCATCCTAATGTGTGTGAAGTAGTATTTCATTGTGACTTTGACTTGTATTTCCCTGATTAGTGATGTCGAGCATCTTTTTGTATGCTTATCTTATTTATTGGCCATTTGTATATCTGGAGAGATGTCTGTTCAAGTCCTCTGCCCATTTTTTAAATTGGGTTGTTTTAGTTATTGTTATTGTTGATTTTAGTTCTTTATGTATTTTGGATATAATCCCATACAGATATGTGATTGGCAAGTACTTTCTTCCATTTTGTGGGTTGCCTTTTCTCACTGTTGTTAGTGTCCTTTGATGAACAAAAGTTTTGATTTTGATGAAGTTCTTTTTTGTCTGTGCTTTTGGTGTCATATTTAAGGAATCATTGACAAATCATTGTCATAAAGCCTTTCCCCTGTTTTTTCTTTTTTCTAAGAGTTTTATAATTTTCATTCTCATGGTTAGGTCTTTGATGCATTTTGAATTAAGAGGTCTTTGAAAGGATCTAACCTTGGATTTCATATCTCTAAAATGAAGATGTTACCTGTCCTACACAACTGTGAGCAGTAAGTGAGTTAATAATAAGTGATGTGAAAATCCTAAGGGGAAAAAAAGCTAAATTGTTGAATCAGCCTTGATATTATAAAACAAGGTAACCCAACAGTGATTAAAACAAACAAAAATAACCCATAACAGCTTACTTATTGGAAGTGTGACAGGTTATTTATTTAGTTATTTATTTATCCATCCTTGCCCAAGGACATGCTTATTGATTTTAAAAAGTGGGGAAGGGAGGGAGAGTGAGAGAGAAACATCGATCAGTTGCCTCTGGTAGGTGCCCTGACCAGGAACTGAACCCACATTGTAGGCATGTGCCCTGAATGGGAGTTGAACCATTAGGTTTATGGTACAACACACCAACCAACTGAGCCACACCAGCCAGGGTGATTTTTCTTTTTTTAATAAAAATAAAATGAAATTAGAATCTGTTTGAAGGCATTTTTGGAAAGTTAAGTCTTGATGTACAGTAAAATCCTGACCAACTTTCTGGAAACTTCAGCCTTCAAAGGCTGAATCAAGAAGTTGAATCAAGAAGTCTCAAAAGTAAATGTCATAGTGGTGAATGGAAATACTGTGCAGCTCCTAATTCTTTGTTTCTCAGATGCTCCTCAACATACTATAACATGGTTCTTTTTTTCATGGGGAAATGGACTCACTGAGATCATTAGTGACCATATTCATTGCCAGGTTGTGGTCTTGCTCACTCCTTACAGTGGTTAAGGAGAAAGAATCTCAAACCAGACTGTATGTTTGAATCTTATTTTGTTTCTGACCGTGTATACAGTTGTATAACTTCTCTGTGTCATCATTTCTTCACTTTTGAAATGAGGAAAACACTGACACCTCTTTTAGATTATTTTAGATTTTGGATTAGAAATTGGAATCTTTAAAAGCAGTCCTTTGGGGAGTTAAAAGTATCCTTGTTAAGTTTTAATAAATTAGAAAATAATAAAAGAAATGTGATTATTTCTCATGGGAGATCTTATTAAAATATTACAGTAATATCTGAGGCTTTTACTAAACTTTATATTTATTTTATTATTAAGATTTTATTTGTTTAGAGAAGTTTTATGTCATACCAAAATTGAGTGGAAAGTACAGAGATTTCCCAACAGCCCCCCCCGCCGCCTTTCTCAGCATCCTCTACCGATGTGTTACATATATTACAATTGATGAACCTACATTGACCCATCATAATCCCCAAAGTCCATAGTTTATATTACAGTTTACTCTTGATGTTGTACGTTCTATGGGTTTGTACAAATGTTTAGTAATAAGTACTTATCATTACAGTATCAGAGAGAGTATTTTTACTACCCTAAAAATCATCTGTGCTCTGCCTGTTTGTTCCTTCTCTCTCCCCAGCTCTTGGCAACCACTGATCTTTTTTGCTGTCTCCATAGTTTTTCCTTTTGCAGAATGTCAGTTCGTTAGAATCATACATTATGTAGCTTTTTCAGATTGACTAAGCCCTTTTAAAATTGAGATAGAATTCTCATACCATAGAATTCACTCCTTTAAAGTGTACTGTTGGTGGCATTTGGAATATCACAAAGTTGTATAACCATGACTAGAATGCAGTTCCAGAACATTTTCATCCCTCCAAAAAGAAACCCATACCCATTAGCAGTCATTCCCCAGTTCTTCATTCCCCAGTCCCTTGAAACCACTATTCTAACGTCTGCCCCTGTATTTGCCTGTTCTTAACATGGAATTATACAACATGTGGCCTTTTGTGTCTGATTACTAATAATATTTTTTAACATTTTCAAAGTATGTTACTGTTTAAAAATAAATTCATAACACTTCTGTGAGGTAGATAGGAACTTTGTGACATAATGGCATTGTGAGATTTGCTATATCTTCATGACCCCAGTTTACCATAGGATGAAGGAAAGAGGAGACCTAGAGGCAGCAGAGTGGTGGTTTGGAAAAGTAGAGTAAAAGAAAAACGGGACATGATGATATATAAAAAATAATTCAGTCCTGTGGGATTTCTAGTACCATGGGTATTAAACTTTATTAAAGTGCAACTGCAATTAAATACTCCAGTTATATTTAAGAGTTTAAAATTTAAAGATGGGTAGTTAGCCTTCCTCAATAGTTATAGACTAAATCTTATTGTAGCAAGGTTGAAAGGATGTCAAGATTGTGCCTTTGGTTATTCTAACTCTTTAAATGGAAGCCTGTTGCTGCGTTATGCAGGAGGGGTATGATAAATTTATTTGTTTTAATAACAAATTAAATTTGTTTTTATAATAAAGAATTTTGCCTTTGCTCCAATTATCTTGAGTAGAGGGCTTTTATATAATGCAAATTTAAAGCACTAATTCTTGAAAGTTATGTGTATATTTTAAATTAATGGTATTAATAAAAAGTAACATTTTTCTATAAATTTTACATAGCTCTTCTGTTTTAAAATATAGTGTACTTTTAAAATACAAATTAGTGCCATCTTCACAATTGAATTTGTAGTTGTGATTGTGTAGAAAAAATCAGTAGGGTAACAAATCACAGTAGGCTATCTTACTGTCTATCATGGTCTGACCATTTCCTGACATAAAGATAGTTCTGGGTAAATTATTCTTTGGTTTGTATCTGGTCTTTTGCCCTGATGAACTTTGCTACTGGACTATAGGTATTGATGAGGACTTCTTTTACCTGAAAGTCTACATGACCTGCCCCTAGCTTCTTTTCCTTGGGTCTCATACTTTTTGTGTTTATTGGGGGTTCTTCCATAAGAGCGCCCTGATCCCTGTATAATACCATTCCCAAGGGAAGTAAGTTCTAAAGGGCAAAGGAATTGAAAATGAAAATAAAATTATCCTTAGGCTAATTAGACTCTCTCTCCTCTTAGCACTCCGAAATACCATCTGTCGGCCCCTGCGTGGGTAACTTCAGTGTGCTTGTCTCCAACAGCTTTGTCCTGTGAGGCTCCATGTCCTTTCTTGAGGTCACTGTAATTAAATCTTTGTCTTTACAGTTTCAGCTTCACGTTGAATTGCATAACTATGACCTTAGCATCTCTTTTCCATGTTATCCTTTTCCTGCATTGAATTGTCATGGTCACATGGTGGAAAGTACACTATATTTTAAAACAGAAGAGCTATGTAAAATTTATAGGAAAATGCCATTAATAAAAAATAGGGAAAGAAAGAGAGTTCTGTGTGTATTGAAGTGAGGAGGAAAGCCTTGGGCAACCCACAAGGATAATAGTATCTGCCAAGATAGTGTGGGTAGGATTTTTGTTTCTGTGTATGTGTTAGTGGGCTTTTTTTTAAAGATTTTATTAATTTTTTTAGAGAGAGGGGAAGGGAAGGGAAGGAAAAAGAGGGAGAGAAGCTTTGACTTGGAGAGAAACATGATGGGTTGCCTCTTGCATGCCCCCAACTGGGGACCTGGTCTGTAACCCAGGCGTGTGCCCCGGCCTGCGACCTTTTGGTGCTCGTTGGTTTCTGCACTCATCACGGGTTCAGTAACGGCAAGTACCGAGGTACCACTGTATTTCTAATACATGTAACTGAAACAAAATTTTCATAAGGCAATATATCGTTATACTAACATTTTCTGTTCTTTTTAATTTTTTAAAAAAATGCTAGTGTTACCTGTGAAATTGGTTTTATCACTCCCTGATGGATTTTAATCTATATTTTTGGAAAACACTTCTAGTTTGTTCATGCTGTGGAACTAGAACATTCCAAAAGCTGGTTGTTAGTTAGGATAATTATTGCTAAAACAGGTTTGACTTTTATCACCTCAAAGAGAATAATCTGATGGTGATTATAAGTAAAAGTTAACAGGATTATCAAGTTCTTGGTAATGAATGCCATAAAACTAAAATACATGTAACTTTTATTTTTATCCTTAGGTGGCGACAGACAAGGTTGCAGAAAAGCTGAGTTCTACTCTCTCATGGGTGAAGAACACAGTATCATATACTGTCAGTCAGATGGCAAGTCAGGTGGCAAGTCCATCTGCTTCATTACACACTACAGCCTCATCTACCACGCTGTCAACGCCAGCCCTTTCGCCTTCATCCCCGTCGCAGTTGAGTCCAGATGACTTAGAACTCCTGGCTAAACTGGAGGAACAAAATAGGTGAGTGACGTTTTTTGGCTTTTCTCTCTTCAATTATCATACAGTCACATCTATTCATATATGCATACATACCATAATCAAACTTTTAAATATTTACACAAACTTAGAATTTTATTTTCTGGCTTTTGGATCATTGTTTATCAAAGTTACTTAACATTATTCAAGTCTTTTTTGAAGAGTTAGCCTTAAAAGTAAAGTTGGACTAAAATTTTCTGGCTCAGATAGCTTTAGATATTCATTTTCTTAATATAGAATATTCCCTAAATTCTTCAAGAATTTTAGAAAAAAATCTAAAGGCAAATGAAACCACCATTTTTGTTTAAACTCTCTTAAGTAATCCCCTTTGATTAAATGGTAAAATAATTAGTATGGATGTCTGATTTGTGCTTTAGAATGAGAAATCTCTTCATAAATTTATTTATGGAAGGCAAATATCCTTTTCTGTTGATGGTTATGAAATAGTGTTTTACTCTGTTGGGAATGTGTGTCTGGGCTCGGTGTACCCCTTTACTGTGTTATTATCCAAAGCTCTTTAGGGCATCAGCTAAAAGAATTATTGGAAGAGCATCCTTTTGTGTTCAGTCAAGGTACATACCACCACTCGCTTTAAGGGTAATAAGAGATAATTTCTAACAGCTTTTTTGATGTATAATTGATATAATAAAAAATACATATAGTTAATAAGGTATGTAATTTGATAGTTTTACATACATATAATCTGTGAAATTATCACCAGAATCAAGAAAATTAATATGTCCATTATCTCGTTTCCCATCCTCAGGAAGCCATTGATCTGTTTTCAACCACTAGATTAGTTTGCATTTTCTAGAATTTTATAGAAGTGGAATCATACAGTATATACTGTTCTTTAGTGAATTTTTTTCACTCAACAAGATTATTTTGAAGTTCATCCATGTTGTAGCATGTTGTAATTTTATTGTTTAGTAGTATTCCATTGTATGGGTGTATCACAGTTTACTCACCTGTTAGGAAATGCTATAAACATTTATGTACAGATTGCTGTGGGGGGTAAGGACATTTCTTCCTATCCATGAACACAGTATATGCTTTCACTTACTTGTATCTTCACTTTCTTTCATCAGTGTCTTACAATTTCCCATATAGGTCTTTTACATTTTTGGTTAAATTTAATATATATAAAAATATTTAAATATATATATAAAATATATATATGTTTTAATCCTCATCTAAGGTTATGTTCATTGATTTGAGAGGGGGCGGGGGAAAAGAGAGAGAAACTTTGATGTGAGAGAGAAGCATCCTTTGGTTTTGCTGGATCTGGTTTGCTAATATTTTGTTGAGGATTTTAGCATCTATGTTCTTCAGGAATATTGGCTATACTTTTCTTTCCTTGTAGTGTCTTTATCTGGTTTTGGAATTAGGACAATGTTAGCCATGTAAAAAGAGCTTGGGAGTCTTCCTTTCTCTTGAATATTTTGAAATAGTTTCAGAAGGATAGGCATTAGTTTTTCTTTCAATGCTTGGTAAAATTCTCCTGTGAAGCTCTCTGGTCTGGGGCTTTTGTTTGTTGGGAGTTTTTGATTATTGCTTCAATTTCACAAGTTGTAATTGGTCTATTCAGATTCTCTGATTCTTCCTAACTCAGTTTTGGAAAATTGCACATTTCTAGGAATTTATTGATTCCTCTGTACTGTCCAATTGTTGGCATATAGTTGTTCATAGTATTTTCTTAAAGTCCTTTGTATTTCTTTGATGTCAGTGGTTACTTCTCTTTTATTTCTGATTTTATTTATTTGGTTTCTCTTTCTCCTTGATGAGTCTGGTTAATGGTTGTCAGTCTTGTTTATCTTTTCAAAGAACCAGCTCTTGGTTTGATTGATCTTTTATACTATTTTTTTTGACACTATTTTGTTTATTTCTGCTCTGATCTTTATTATTTTCTTTCTTCTGCCCACTTTTGGCTTTGTTTGTTGTTCTTTTTCTAGTTCCTTTAAGTGTAAAGTTAGGTTCTTTATTTGAGATATTTCTTGTTTCTTGAGGTAGGCCTGTAATGCTATGAATTTCCTTAGGATTGCTTTTGCTGTGTCCCATAGGTTTTGAGTTACTGTGTTCCCAGTTTCCTTTGTTTCAAGTTCTCTTGTACTTTTTCTCCTTGATCTCATTGTTAACCCACTCATTGTTTAGCAACATGTTATTATAGCCTCTATGTCTTTGCATGTTTTTCACTTTTTTTCTTGTGATTGATTTCTAGATTCATTGTGGTCAGAGAAGATGCTTGATATGATCAAGCTTCTTAAAGTTATTGAGACTTATTTTGTGTCCTACCATGTGGTCTATCCTAGGAAATGTTCCTATGCACTGTAGAAGAATGTATATTCTGCTGCTTTGGGCCGAAATGCTCTGAAGATATCAATTAAATCCATTTGCTCTAGTGTGTCATTTCAGACCACTGTTTCCTTGTTGATTTTGTATCTGGGATGTATATCCATTGATATCAATGGGTTGTTAAAATCCCTTTCTATGACTGTATTACTGTCAACGTCTCCCTTTATATTTTCAATATTTGCTTATCTTGAAATAAGGAGCACTTATTTATGTGCTCCTATGTTGAATGCATACCTATTTACAAGGGTTATATCTTCATGTTCGATTGCTCCCATTTTCATTATGTAGTAGACTTTTTTGTCTCTTACTGTAGCCTTTGTTTTATTTTTATTTTTAAGTTTTTTTAAGTTGAGTTTATTGGGGCAACATTGGTTCACAAAACCATACATGTTTCCAGTGTACAACTCAATAAAACATCGTCTGCACACTGCAGAGTTTTGTTTTAAAGTCTGTTTGGTCAGAGATAAGTACTGCTATCCCACTTGTTTTTTCCCATTTCCATTTGCATGAAATATCTTTTTCCATGCCTTTACTTTAAGTTTGTGTGTATCTTTCATTCTGAGGTAGGTTTCTTGTAGACAGCATATGTGAAGTATATGGGTGTTGCTTTTTAATTCATTCAGCTAACTTTGTCTTTTGATTGGAGCATTTAAGTCATTTACATTTAAAGTGATTATTGATATGTATGAATTTATTGCCATTTTATTCTTTTAACAATGTTCTTCTCTTCCTCTCCCTCTCCTTCTCCCCCTTCCTCTCCTCCCCTTCCCTTTCCTCTAGAAGATCCTTTAACATGGTTTGGTGGTAACAAATTCCTTTAGCTTTTCCTTGTCTGGGTATCTCTATTTCTCCTTCAATTTTTTAAAATTATTTTTTATTTTATTTTTTCATTGTACTTTTTTCTATTACAGTTTATATACTTCTCCTGCCCAGCAATCACCATGCTATTGTCCATGTTCATGAGTACCTTTTCCTTAGAATTGCTGAGTAAAATAGTGTTGGTTGAAGGTCCTTGCTTTTCATCACTTTGAATATTTCATGCCAGTCCCTTCTTGCCTGAAATGTTTCTGTTGAGAAATCAGTCTTATGGGACCTCCCTTTTAGGTAACTAACTGTCTTTATCTTACTGCTTTTAAGATTCTATCTTTGTCTTTACCTTTTGCCCTTTTGTTATGATGTGTCTTGGTGTGGGCCTTTTTGGCTTAATCTTGTTTGGGACTCTGTACTTCCTGGACTTGTGTGTCTTTTTCCTTTACCAGGTTATGGAAGTTTTCAGCCATTGTTTCTTCAAATACCCCTTGCTGTCTCTCTCTTCCTTCAGGTTACCCCTATGATGTGGATGTTTTTATGCTTCATGTTGTCCCAAAGTTCCCTTAAACTGCCCTTGTTTCTTAAAGTTCTTTTTTCTTTTTGCTGCTCTGATTAGGTGTTTTCTGTTACCTTGTCTTCTAATCACTGATTTGATCCACTGTTTCATCCAACCTACTATTATTCCTTCTAGTGTATTCTTCATTTGAGATATTTTATTCTTAATTTCTGACTGATTCTGTTTTATGCTTTTTGTGTCCTTTTCCATGCTGTTATAGTTCTTACCAAGTTCCTTGAGCATCTTTACAACCATTTTTTTTGAACTCTTTATCAAAGCAACGTATAGATTTGATGCAATTCCTATCAAGGTACCAATGGCATATTTCACAGAACTAGAACAGATATTTCAAAAATTTATATGAAACCACAAAAGACCTAGAATAGCCACAACAATCTTGAGAAAGAAGAACAAAGTTCAAGGAATCATGCTACCTGATATCAAACTATACTACAAAGCTGTAGTAATCAAACAGCATGGTAGTGGCATAAAAATCCACATATAGATCAATGGGACAGAACTGAGAGCCAAAAATAAACCCATGCCTTTATGGTCAGTTAGTATTTGACAAAGGAGGCAAGAACATATAATGGTGCAAAGACAGTCTATTCAATAAATGGTTAGGGGAAAATTGAACACGTGCAAAAAAGAAAAAGAAATTTGACCACCGTCTTACACCATTCAGAAGAATAAACTCAAAATGGATTCAAGACTTAATTTGTAAGACTCAAAACCATAAAAATACTGGAAGAAAACACAGGCAATAAAATCTCGAATATTTCAGAGCCCTGGCTGAAGTGGCTCAGTGGATAGAGTGCTGGCCTGTGAACTAAAATCTCAGACATTTCTTGTAGCAATGTTTTTTCTAATACATCTCAGACATGGTAAACAAAGAAAAAATAAACAAATGGGACTACAGGAAACAAAGTTTTTGCACAGCAAAGTAAACCATTAACAAAATGAAAAGATAACCCAATGAATGGGAGAACATATTTGCCAATGATACATCTGATAAGGGTTAAATACCCAAAATTTATAAGGAATTCACACAACTCAACACTCAGTAAACAATCCAATTTTTAAAAAATGGGCAAAATACCTGAATAGACATTTCTCCAAAGAGGACATACAGATGGCCAGTAGACATATGAAAAGATGCTCAGCATCACTAGTCATCAGAGGCATGCAAATTAAAACCATAATGAGGTAACACCTCACACCTGTCAGAATGTCCATCATCAATAAATCAACAAACACGTACTGGCGA